TTGGTAAAAAAGATAAATTATTTTTAGGAAAAAATTAATGAGTGTCTTCTGCACAGTTTTCTAGCTTAATTTCATATCCATTAGACTCTATATTTGAATTATAAAGTCGAGAATTTTCTGGGTTTTTGTTCTAGAGGAAAATGCATTAGGAATCAATATGGTTATAGATAACATTTGGGAATGCATAAACCATACACATTTAAATGCACCCATGAAATTGTTAAGAACATTTGTGTGGTTTCCATAAGCAATCTTAATAACCCAGAGATCTCAAAATGTATCAGCATTTTAAATATTTGAAAGTGAATGTCTACACAATCTAAATGTACTATATATTTGCCAACACTCTAAAAGTTTGATTTGATCAAATATGTTTCTGGTCCATGGATTTTTTACTATTTCTAGAGTTGCATGAAACAAAGTTTTATTTCCTAGAAATATTCAGGTTTGTTACCTCACAAAAAAATTCTTTCATGGAAATCTCTTAATTACTCCAATTCTGAGTGTTAATCTTGTACATGGAGAGGATTCATTGGATGGTGGTAAATGGTAATGAGAACTTTGGTAGTGTGTGTGGTATGGCATATACACTTGATGAGGTGTGAAATGTATAGAGTGCAGTAAACCAATGTTATTACAACAAAAAAACAGGCACATAAATGAGGAAATGTTTTTTGTGTTGATTATGTTGGCACTTTCTGTCCCTTAATCTCATCATTTTGATGTTATATGTTACATCTAACATTCATCTTAATAATCATATAGTAGTGACTTTTAAAATAATTTCATCTACTAAGAATTAAGCTGTGAATTTTTTTATCCTAGATATTCAATAGTTCCTTTTTTTTTTATACTTCAACTACTTGTATGTACAAGGAAAATTAATACCAGAATATATATTTTTGCTGGACAGATGTGGGAGTTTAGTGGAGATAAATTTATTGGTATAGTAAGGATTTCTATTATAATTTCTTCAAATAATGTACATCCATTTCACAAGTAAATTCTTAATACATCATCCCTTCAGTTGAACCACATGTGCGACATGAAGCTTGGTGAATCAAAAATTCTGATGCTGCTTGCTGAGAACGCGAGCCCATGCACTCACTGGTCAACAGATCTTGGCCTTGCACATGCCTCTTTTAGTCTTGGCTTCCCACGATGTGACTTCAGAAAGCAAACCCAAACTTTAGGCAACTGTGGTGGTGGATATTGCCTTAGTGCCCTCAAGGTGAAACTTTCTGATTACCGAGGAAAATACGTTGTCCTCTTTTTCTACCCACTGGACTTCTCTAAAAGAGACCTACTTTTTTATTATTTTATATATTTTTTACATAATTTTTGCACAATGTATGCATTTTCATCTTGGTTATATTCCTCATACAATTCCCACTACCCTTATTTTGGCCCAAATCCCTCCTCTCCTTCCCCCCGCCCCCCGCCCCGCCCTGGAGTGTGTCTCTGGTTTATAGTTGCTTGTTGATTTTGATTTTTCTTTATTATAATTAGTCTTTTTCCTGGTCCCTTATTTAAGTTTTCTCGATCCTTCTATGAGTGAGACCATCAAGTATTTTTCTTTTTCTTTCTGGCTTATTTCACTGAGTATGATCCCTTCCAGCTCCATCCATGTTGCTGCAAATTGCATGAGTTTATCTTTTTTGATTGCTGAGTAATATTCCATAGTGTATATGTACCGCATCTTCTTGATCCAGTCATCTATTTTTGGGCATTTGGGTTACATCAACATCCTTCTGTTGCCAGAACATACTTCTGTTGGCTGAACATCCTTCTGTTGGCTGATGTAACCAGAGATTGTCTATGTTTATGGTGTCTAAAAGAGGAAGGCATCACCTACAGGGGCCTCTAGCTTCAAACAGCAAGGTGACCTTTGTCAGATCACTGTCAATAATTTGCATGTGGGGCATTCTGTGAATGAAGCCCTGTGACAGCCTCAGACTTCTAGTACACTGAGAAGCAAGCAGAATTCTGTTCCGCTGATAGGAATCCAGGCAGCAATGCAATCAAGCCCAGTGTGGATGGCAGCAAGGAATAGTTCAGACACAACTAGGCTATAAGATAGATCCCAGCCCTTGTCTGTGTCACTGCCTGGATACTGTGTGCTGACTCAGGAAAGGACAGATCTACCTTTCAAACGCCACATTATTTTTCCTGGGGAAGGGGTGGGTAGGCCCAAGGTCTCATGTTCCCATCTGGGATCTGGTGAATGGTGACCCATTCTCCGGAACTCACCTAGCAGAGCACAGATGTAGAGGTAACTAACAAAGTATTAGGGGTGGTCAAAAAAAATTCTGACACTGGTTATTATGTAGATATCATTGTTTTTGCTTCCAGACATTACTAATACGAGTTTCCAAATTTAAAAAAAAAATACAATTTTGACTTTTAGTTTATCTAGCTGTTGGAAGTGCTAAAACAAAACACTGATTTTATTTCTTATGTGCAAATGACACTTTTGTGAGATAGTGATTTTCTCACAAAGTGATTATAGTGTGGCACTAGAACCAGAAAAATCAACATCACCTGAAATTTATTAAAATGCAAATTCTGGGCCCCCATCACATACGTACTGAATCAGAAATGCAAGGAGTTGGGCCTAGAACTGTGTATTTTTTTAAAAAATTGATTTTAATGCACACTCCAAGTTGAGAAACACCATCATGATAGAGTTCTTAAAATGAAGTTTAGTTTCCTAAGTATTCATTGGAAAATAGGTACTAAGAAGGACAGTGTCACAAAACTAAATCCATATTTTTTTTAATAGAAAGTAATCTACCACTTTATCTCTAGAGAAGAATGGAGGTGTCTATTATTTCAGATGTTGTGTTTACAATTCTTGAGCAATTCACTAAAATTGAAGATTAGAGACTTTGCAGTTATATTTTAGGTGAAAGTACTATGGTTATGAATGATTAACTTACATAGTAGCTATTTCAAAATGCAGATTACATTTTATGTGTATGCTCTTCATTAATTTTCCTCAGAGCTATAGAGAGGTCAAAAATGTACTACCATATGATAAATTTTCATAGTGTAATTTATTAACTACTAAATGCTTTGGTTGAAATATATATTTCATGATAAAAATGAATATAAGAGCTAAAGTTCCTACTCATTTTTCAAAAGCTTGTTCCTTCTATATATATACATCACATGTATACCATAATCTATATAACTGGTGACTCTATTGCTCTTAAATTATTTGTGTTATCTTTATAAAATTTCAGTATATTAAGATCTTTCATATGAATTTTTAATCTTATTAATAAATAAACTACCATTTGAATCGAATTTATCTTTAGTTGTCACATTTAATTCTTTAGAAACATATACAGAACCATTTATATAAACCTGATAAAAATCATCACAGAATAGTACTGTTTGTATTAACATATGCACAACCATTGCTTTTTAATGGATCTGTGATTAATGAATGTAATTTAATGCATATTCTTTTCATTAAATATTTATTTTTATTTATGCATACAAGAACTGGGGTGTAGCCAGAGGTGGGGGAGAGGATTCTCCAGAGACAGCGTGGGGAGCAGAGCAGTCAGACTGACTAAAATACTCTGCTGAGGGGAGCAGCGGGTGAGACAGGAGAGGTCTGCTGCACTATGTGGGTTAGCTCCCTAGCCAGGGATTGATCTCCTGCTGCAGTGGCTGCAGATTGCTTCATAATGCTGTGCTTAATCCCTTGCGCCAACAGGGAGGCCCTTAATGCATATTCTTGCACCAAACAGTGGACCATTGTTCTAACACAAGGTTATTGTCAAAATCAATTGGAACCAGATATTTAATACATATGAATTATGTGAATGTATTAAAAAGTAGTATGAGCAGATAGCATGATTATGAAGATAAAAAATCTTCAAAAATTATGAGTAGTTCTGGATCAAGAAGATGTGGTACATATGTACCATGGAATATTACTCAGCATTCAAAAAAGATAAACACATGCAATTTGCAGCAACATGGATGGCGCTGGAAGGGATCATGCTCAGTGAAGTAAGCCAAAAAGAAAAAGAAAAATACCGGATGGTCTCACTCATAGCAGGAATCTAGAAAACTTAAATAAGGGACCAGGAAAATGAATATAAGAAAGTGAAAATCAAAATCAACAAAAAACTATGAACCAGAGACACTTTTTGGGGGGTGGGGGGCGGGAGGGGAAGGATTGGGGTCAGAATGGGGCGTTTGCAATTGTATGGGGGAATATAAAAATAAAATTTATTATTTAAAAAAATATATAAAAATATTTTAATTACCCACACACACAAAAAAAAATTATGAGTAGTAGTATGCAAATTTATAAAATATCAGGACAGATAATCTAATAAATAAACCAAAATATATCTTAAGAAATGAACAATGCCTCTTAGAAGGGCAAAAAGATATCTAAAATGGCTAAACATAGAATTAGAGAAGGCAATCAGGGGAGTTTGGATGGACATCACAAAATTAATTTTGGGAAATAAAAATGAAAGATGGCAAAAGAATGTAGGTGTGAATAACTAGTAGATAATTATTCTATAACTTATATTGGAAATGATTTTAAAATATTTACTAAGTTACTGTTCCGTGACCAAGACTTGAGATTCTGTTGATGTTATGTCTCAATGGAGAAGAAGTCAAAAGGCAGCTTAACTGTTTATTATTTGAGGATGAAAGTTTTCCCAGCTCTCAGCTATTTGTGAGGTCTCTATGTTTAGGTCTTTCTCTTCTGTTCTTACAATCTTCAATTTGATGTTATTCTTTCGATTAGATGTTATTTCTTAAAATAAATAAGAAATAACAAAGACGTAACCTTAAAACAAGAAATTTACTCAGGTGATCAGAATAGGGTATTGTTAAATCAAGTATTCAATATATTAGCTTGTAATCAAGGTGTTCTAGTTATTCCTCACTATTTTCTGCTACTGTTGAGTAATTACTAAGGCCTTTATTTGTTTCACTCTCACTGTAGTGCATATTCATTTCAGGATGGGAGGTCATGTCTTTGGCAACTCAAAAACAGTGATCTCAATTCTCTTCATGGTTGACTCGGTAATTATTCTTATGACATCTATATTTTAACAGCATTTACTAGAGCAGAACAGGGTCAAATACTTAAACACAAGGTGATTTGACCAGGTGGTATGGTTCCTCTGTGAATTACCAACAAGCAAGGAGAGGGAAGTGAAGTCATCTTTTGGCTGGACTCAGGTATCAGAGGATTCCTAAAGTTGTTGGCTGCTACCTGGAATCTCCTGCTACTCAGTAGCCCTTGGAATATGCAGTGAACCAGAGGAGTTATTGCTTTGTTTCTGTGTATTTACATTTAATACATTTAATAAGACCAACGAGGAATCTTTGGTCTAAGCCTTAGATGAATTCCTATTAAAATGGCTTATATGTTAAGTAAAGGGAGGAGCCTACTACAATGACAAGATCCCTAGGAGAAAGTTCAGGAGAGAAATGGGGAAGTAGGAGACTGAAGTGAGGAAGAGGGTAAAACAAGCAGAAGTATGCTGAGAAATATTCCCCTTTTACCATTAGAGATGGCCTTGGATTAATTAACACTATTGTTTAATTTTCTCCATTTTGATTTTCTGAAAGGCAGTTGAAAAAGCTATCTTCAAATTCCTCATGGCTATTAGGAAGAAAAAACTATTCTATAGTTACAGGAATACGATGCTGAACTGAGGTAACATTCTTCTGTAACTTATGTATAACACTGAGCAAGTTAGTAAGTTTTACTAATCCTTAACTTCCATTTACAATAGAAATAATAACATATGCAGTTTTATAAGATTGTTATGGGATCAAGCAAATTAATAGTGGAAAGAATTTAGAATAGAGCCCTGTACTTACTCAGTCTTTAATAAATACTTGCTATTACTGTTTCTTACTTACACATATATTTAACTTATTGTTTATTATATCTATCATCAGTCTATTTATCAATCAATCATCTATCTGTATGTCTGTCTATTTATATGTCATTGATCTATAATAGCATGCTCTACCAATGCACCAGATAATTTTGCCTTAAAATAGATTGCCCAAGAAAATTAAGGAAATAGACTTAGATGAAAATTTCATGTAGGAAATTCATTGGGGTACGCACATAAGTATTAAATTATATGGAAATAAAGGAGGTAATATTAGTCAGACTTGCCTGCCTCTGGTTGGTAACAGAATCATGAAATTCAAGCTGATTGTTGTAGTCAGTTACCTCTGTCAGATGGTGATTCCATTTCTTTCCTGGTAGTCTCTTAACACAAGGAAGCTGAAGTGACAAACAGCAGTGATAAAGTTAAGTAGAGCTCTTGTTCTGGTGGGCAATGTTCTGTCTCTGTAGAACTTTAAACACAAAAAGTTCTAAGTTATAGGTTCAGAAAACCTGAGTCTGCTAATTAGATCACTGTTAGTAATTAACTGGGTCCATTACACTTCCAACTCTTGGTTACTAGGTCCATTATTTCACCCTTGTGGCACCACATAAAAATGTATTCATCAATTTAGAGTATATGTTATTTGTGCAGTATGGCACTCCATCTGCACAGTGTCATTTCCAAACTGAAATCTCAGCTGTGCTTTCAAATAGTTACCCCATTTGCCTATCAGGCTGGCAGTTTCTGAATGGTAGGGTTTGTAATGAAAAGGAATGTGTGTTTGTGTATGTGTGTGTGTGTTTGTATACCAATAGCATTGTTTCTGGTGCTAAGTAGAACCCATGATCTGAACTGATATTGAATGGGATATTGTATCAACAGATTCAAATACTCTATGACCCATTGTCCTAGAGCAAGCTAAGAATTTGCAAGCAAGAAAAAAACAATTATATACAAAAATATGTGTAATTCCAGTCAGAAGGCATTTCTTCATCTTCTAAGGAGAAAAAAGTTCAGTGTAATTAACCAATTGTATAATATCTTCCATGGAGAGTGCAATATTAAGGAAATAGTACAGATTTATTCTACTTATAGTTACATTTTCAGCTGGGGAAGTCTTGGAGAGAGTTAACTCATAAAGTTGGTTCCATGAATAATAACTATCCCTTCCACCATAGTTATTCCAATAGTCTAACCATTTGCCACATTGGGACTGGCTCATGTCAACTAGCAACCATTTTGCCTACTCAGATGTTCACAGCCCTTCTATGGAGTAGGGTCTTTAGTGAGTGCTAACATATGAAGCATAGATCTTCACACTTAATGACCAAACATATGTCTGTGCATTTCTGTGGAACTCTTTATCCCTAGTCTTCCTTTTTTTCTATTTCCATTTCATATCACTGTGAAACATGACACTTTTAGTTATTGTCTACTTTACACTGTTACTAAGAAACTTTCTAATATGACTATTCTTTTCATTTATATCTCTAGATTTTCATGGAATGTTTACTTCATACCTTTTGATGCCACCTCAATCATGTCAAAATCAGCACAGACTGTCCTGTGAAATTAGACTCGTCAAGTGGCTTTGAGTGGAAGATACTTCTAATTCAGTTAAAAGAACACATTCTTCTTTACCACTTTTCTTTGTTATGAAAATTGCACCCACCAATTCAAGCACTTGATGAGGAATCACACTTTGATAGTGTTTGAAAAACCCTATAAATTGAGGTCATGAGCCTACCCAAATAAATCATAACTTCCAGATACTATTTTACCCACTTTTAGCTTGAAAACAATACATGCCTTCAGTAGTAGAAGGTTTAGGATAGTCCTAATGCTTTTAGCCTTTTAATATACAGAAGACATTCTAGGCTGAAACCAGTTAGCTCTATAATGGCACGTTTTCCTTGTTTCATTCAACAAATGTTTATTGAATGGCTGCTATGTGTTAGGAACTGTATTTCCAGGGACAAACAATATGTATATCTGATCCAGTCTAATCCAGTCTAAGGGGGATTATAGATATTACATGACAAAACAAATAAAACAAATAATTTAAAATTTTATTTTGATATCAGTAGCCTAATGGGGAACATCTTACTGGAGATTTTTCTTTTTCTTAATTTTATAGCAATGATAAATTTAAAGCTATTTGAATATAGGTAACATTTTCATACATCCAATGTTATGTCAAATAAAAGAGAGTCAATTTATTTAAAACATTTAAGATGATTTCCTGATTTTTTTTTCAATAAGACTTCTTCAACATTTTTATCTTCCTTGGTGCTGTGGACCTGATCTACAGGGAATGACTTTAAAACCGTTTCTCTTAGGGCCATCTTGGTGGTGCCAGGGTTAAATCTCATTGCTATCAAGCTATTGCCAGCCACTGAGGCATGAAATCAATCCCCAGCTAGGGAAGCTGACCCATGGTACAGCAGACCTCTCCTGTCTTCCCTGCTGCTCCCCTCGGCAGTGTATTTCAGTAGATCCACCTGTTCTGCTCCCCACTCTGTCTCTGGTGAAGACACACACACACACACACACACACACACACACCCACCCCCGTACCTCTCGCTTACACCCCAGTTCTTGCATGCATAAATAAAATAAATCTTTTAAAAAAACTGTAAAAAACTGTTTCTCTCAAATTGCTGCTGAGAATAGTCTTAAACATCAGGTTCATTCAACTAATGTGTAGTTACTGCTATGTGTAGTCATTATACTTAGCAGTGGATGTCATCCTGGTGTTAGTTACACTTTTCCTGGAGCTTTATAATTTCACAGGCTTAAGAACACTTTAAGAGCTATCACTGAGTAAATGTAGGAAATCCCCTAATATCAGAATTAAACCGAGGACAGAAGGGTCATGTACTGCATACCGCTGTGTGGATGCCAAAATAAAAGTTATTTTATAAAAAATATATACTAGTGGGTGCTGGTCTGGAATGAGTATTTACAGAAATAAAAAGTAAGGATAAAATGAGAAAGATACTTATAGATAAAAGTATTGGGAATCATTAATGCTGACTATGGAAGAGGAGAAAAGGAATAAAATAAATTATAATGTTGTGAACTCAAGGAATGAGTAACACAATGACCCCTCATTTCTATCAAATTTTATATTTTTATGCAGTCATCATGAAGACAATTTGGACTTTCTTTGTTCATCATGAATTTCTGAGTTCAAATTGAAAAATATCTCGGAAAATAAAGGGACAATTCTTTTGTATATGTTTGAATGTGTAGGAATGATGTCTCAGAAAGCATGCATTGCCAAGGATGGCTCAGTGCCAAGAAAAGAAAAAAGCTGGTGGTTGGGGGCAGCTGGTTATATTTATCAAGCCCGGAGTTCCTCTTGTGTGGTGGCTTTTCCTGAATTTTTAGTTGTGTGGTTAGTTAATAATATGAAAACAGAATATAATGAGAGCCAAAAATATTCAATTCAATAGCCAACAAATGTTACTTTTGTGCCAAAAGATATGACTTTTCTTACATCATGCATTTTAAAACTATGATATTTAAAATTAATTGTGTGGAAATAAAGGGAATGCCTAATAACATATCTTGCTGACACATACAGGAATATTTTTCACTAACGGTTGCTAGTAGTTTTAACAAAAGAATGAAAAAGCCTTCCATTATTTTTAATCACTAAAAATCAGTCACAGAAAGAAGCAAATTGGTTTTCTGTCTACACATGCATTTTTCATTAAAATCTTAGAACATATATTTTTTGCACTAGCAGTTTGATCTCATTCAATGCCAGCAAAATGCCTTCGAATCATTTTTATGAGTTGTTTCCTACAAAACTTGAATGTTTTTCAGAGTAGATGCATGAGATATATAGTTGTATTGGGATGTATAGGTAAGAAAGACAAGAAGAAGTAGATTCTCAAAACCTGGTTTTATTTTAACCAATAAATTTGATTTCATAAAAGAAATCACTATAGTAAATCAATTCTCATACAGAATTGTATGACTCATGCCCACATTTTATCCTCTAATACTTCACATTTGTATAGGGGTGTGCTGGACATTTCTATTGGCATTTAGCACTTTTACAACCAATATATAATTTCCTCAGTATTTGGGGCTAAATATCTATGATTATTTCAAGAATCTTAATTTCCAAGTTTGCAAGTACAGTTCAGGTTGTACCAATAAGATGTTTTCATAGGATTTGTGGAAGGCTGAACAGAAACCACTTCCTTTTTTCCAAGACTAGTAGGCTGAAAGTAGCATCTGAAACTATCAAATCCTTCTGCTTTAATCTTGAAGTTAGTGTCAGACCTGATTTTACAACTTGGACTTTTCCATTCTCTTTTTTTAAAGGTTAATTTTTATTTATTTATGCATACAAGAACTGGGGTGTGGGCCAGACATGCGGGGGGTGGGGGTGAAAGGATTCACCAGAGACAAGAGTGGGAAGCAGAACATGTAGACTGACTGCTGAGGGGAGCAGAGGGTGAAACAAGAGAGGTATGCCGTGCCATGTGGGTAGGTCCCCGGCTGGCCCAGGATCAAACTCATAGTGCAGAGGCTGTGAATAGCTTCACAGTGTTGTGTTTAACCCCTTGTGCCACCAGGGAGGCCCTAGAATACAGTATTGTTAATATCACCTGCTATAATTGGAGCTGCAGAACTTACTCATCTTATAAATGAAAGCTTATATCCTTCAATCAACTTCTCCCCATTTCTCCCACCTCTGGCAACTACCCTCCTCTCTATTTCTGTAAGATCAACTTTTTAAATTCCACATAAAAATGGAACCATACAGTAAAAAAAACAAAACACCTAAAATATATTTCAGCATTAAAACATGTTATGCTTTCTTAATATTATTTGTGTTTTGTTTTAAAATAAGGGACTGTGCAAGCAGCAATTGTAATATACTCAGTATCAGATCAGTGACTATGAAATTTGAATCCCTAACATCTTTGCACTCTTTGGCATTTAACAAATATAAAAACTGACTGTTATGCCAGAGTAAGCTACTTGCCTCTTCATTAGAAATAGAATAGTTATACCTGGAATGGATGTTAAACATATGAAAAGAAGATAGACTATCAGATGAAGAGTAGAATACATTTAGAACACAAAAAGGCAAATGTTTCTGTACCAGAGGACAACAATTTGGGGAATATAAATGGCTTACTAAGTAACTGCCACATGGCAGAAGAATATTAATATAAAAACTGCTAAATGAATTGTTACATTTACAAAAAGCAAGATGTAAATTGCATCTCCCTCAAAAGAGAGAAGTTATAGCTGTAGATCAAAGTAATTAGGAAGGCAGGTCATCTGATAATAAAAAAATTTTAAATTTAGGGAGAATTTTAAATTGACATCTGCTTTCAGCCTTCCTGGTGGCGCAAGGGGTTAAGCACCGCACTATGAAGCAATCCGCAGCCTCTGCAGTATGAGCTAGATCCCCAGCCAGCCAGAAAGAAACCCACATGGCGAGGCAGACCCCTCCTGTCGCCTGCTGCTCCCCTCAGCAGTATATCTCAATCAGTCTGCCTGTGCTGTTCCCCACTCTGTCTCTTGTGAATCCTCTCAACCCCCGCATCTCTGGCCTGTACCCAAGCTCTTGTAAGCATAAATAAATAAATCTTAAAAAAAAATTGACATCTGCCTTAACTTGAGCTGCTATAACAAAATACCAGAAACTGGGTGGATTAAACAACAGACACTATTCTATTAAAGTTCTGGAGGCCTGGAAGTCCAAGATCATAGGGCCAAAGATTCAATTCTCGGTGAGGGCTTGCAGACTGCCACCTCCTCAATATGTCCACACATATCTGAACAAGCTATTCTTGTCTCTTTAAAAAAGACATGATCCTGGGACCTCCCTGGTGGTGCAAGGTATTAAGACACTACTATGAAGCTCTCCGCAGCCACGGAAGCATGAGTTTGATCCCTGGCCAGGGAGGTGACCCACATGACAGCAGCAGACCTCTCCATTCTCTCCCGCTGCTTCCCTCAACAGTGTGTTTCAGTCAGTCCACCTGTTCTGTTCCCCACTCTGTCTCTGATGAATCCTCCACGCCCCACATCTCTGGCCTGTACCCCAGTTCTTATATGCATAAATAAATATTTTTAAAAAAGACATGATCCCAATCATGGGATCCCACCTCCTTTAAACCTGATAACTTTCACCTCAACATGCCATCATCTTGGGAGTTAACACTTCAATCTATGAATTTTGAGGGGACACAGTCACCTCAAACACCTCAAACATCATAACAACATCTCTAGTAAATGGTTAGAGATGTAGCAATATTTTAATGCATAATATGTAAATCAGAATGTATGTTTACAAGTCAATGGCACTGCATCAAAGTGCCCCAATAACTCTAAGATGAAGAGACAGTTAAGAATACAAACATGTTTAATGCATACAAGAACAGACTGGAGAATTTCATAATATATAAAAGGGCAATGCATTTTAAAATGAACCACTGATTTCACTCATGTGGTACATGAAACAAACAAATGAACTAAATAGGACAAAAATAAATGTTTGGGCTATAAGACTAATTAGTGAATGGTTACCAGTAGGGAGGGAGTAAGAGAGGTAGTGAAAAAAGGGACAATTGCATGGAGAAGGATAAAACTGTATTTTTAGCAGTGAACTTTATTTTAGTGATATGTGCCTGAAACAGATAATGTTTTAATACATTACTTGAATAATTTTTTTAAATGAACAATTTAAAAGCATACTATGATTTCGAAAGAAATACAGGAAATGGAGCCAGATATAATGGCACCACTTAGTAATACTCCAATTACCAATTACATTGCATTTCTTCTCCATTGGATTATCTAGAATTTCTTACACAATAAGACCAGTAAAATAAAAGAGCAAAAACAAGTATGGATAGTCTCCTAGATAATGCTTTATTTCTATTGTTTTACAAAGGAAATGCATTAGTCCTTATTTTCTATAACTCTATTTGTCTTCATTGTTTTTCATTGCTGAATGTATTTAGAAATGATTATATACATATATTTGCATGAGTATAAATTTCTGTCTCTGTGCTCTATTACTTTGTCATTTTTTTTCCTTTGGGTGGTATTCCATTGGTGGGAGATTTTATA